AATTTATCCCTCTCCCAACACCTTTCCCCTTTGGTAACAGTAAGTTGTTTTCTGTGAGTCTGTTTCTGCTTTATAAATAAGTTCATTCATATCATGTCTTTTAGATTCCACATATAAATAATATCATATGGCATTTGTCTTTGTCTGGCTTACTTACAATGATAATCTCTAGGTCCTATACATTTGCATATGATTAAAGTCAGAGGTTATCTGCTCTTTGTGTAATTCTAAATTTTAGGACTCAAGGAAAAGTGCACTGGACTTTTGGAAATGCTTGCAGTATTTCTATCTGGTGTCTTTCTTGACTTTGATCAACAAAGTTAGTCACTTAGAATTGCAGGTGTCTTGTAGAATTTAAAATAAATAGACTTATCAACATTCATAAACAGAGCATGGAAGTATTTCAATACTTACGTGGGTAACTTTCAACATTTCTCAACTCCACAGAAGAGAACTTGGGAGAGAACTTAAGAGACTGTCATAGTGATGACTACCTTTCATTGAGTAATTAACTGTACTAAGTACTTCATGCACTTTATATCATTGAAACCCTACCACAATCCTTTGAGAACTACATATATTACAAAGAAAGGAACAGAGGCTTGGTGAAAATAAAGAAATTGCTTGAAGTCACCCAGCTTGTAGACAGTAGAACTGTAATCAAACCCAGAGTGCAAGATTCTTTTCTTTTCTTTTTTTTAATTTGGCTGCACCAGGTCTTAGGTGCAGTATGTAGAATCTTTAGTTGCGGCATGCAGATTCCCAGTTGTGGCATGTAGGATCTACTTCCCTGACTAGAGATCAAACCCAAGCCTCCTGCCTTGGGAGCATGGAGTCTTAGCCACTGGACCACCAGGGAAGTCCCCTGAAGTGCATGATTTTTACCCCCAGCTCCTGACTGCATTTTATTTCTCAGCTCATCTGGCTCAAGGCCTAATCTCCCATGCCACTTTTGTATATTTTATGTAAATCTGTTGCTGCCCTTAGGACACTTTATTTATTTATATATTTATTTCTTTATATATTTACTTCTGCTAATAAACTCTTAACCCCCTGAAGGAAGGAATGTTTCCTGAAACCCCAACATGCAAGGCAAATCCATTTTTGCTGGCCTGAATTAATACCAGGTTAAGTAGTAGAATCTAAGAGAGCTTAAAGAACTTGCCCTTCACCATTTCATCAGCGTCTAGCAAAGTTGGCATCTGGAGCTAGACCTCCCAACTTACCTCTATCTTAAACACTGCAGGCCAGGCCAGTGGTTCTTAAATGTGATGCGGGGACCAATTGTATCACCTAGGAATTTGTTAGAAGTGCAAATTATTATTAATAATATTAGCCCCACCCCAATCCTACTGAATATAAGCTTGTAAAGGCAAGGCCCAGAATTTTGTGCTTTAATAAGCCCTTCTTGCGATCCTGATGTATGCTCAAGTTTGCGAATCACTCCTCTAGGTGAAGAGACATAACAGTTTAATAAAAACAGAGTGGTTGACATAGAATTTGTTGTTGTAGCCTTGTCTGACTCTTTGCAACCCCATGGACTGCAGCATGCCAGGCTTCCCTGTCCTTCACCATCTCCAGGAGCTTGCCAAACTCATGTCCATTGAATTGGTGATGCCATCCAACCATCTCATCCTCAAGATATGATAATTTAATAAAAACAGAGTGGTTGACACAGCATGGAGTGTAATAAAACTGTTTATTTGATTTGCTATGTGGTTAGGTTGATAAAATATCCCATCCTACTAAAAATGAAAAAGTCAAGTAAAAACTCATCTAGTATGGTTATTTTCATTAAAAAAAAAAAAATCCAAAGCAATTAGTCACTCGAATCAAGCATGCAATGAATTAATATTTTTACAATTAATGAGAAAATTAAGTGAAGAAAAGAGTCTATTGGCTATTTGAGCATATCTACCTGGAGGAATCAAGCTGAACAGAAATAAAATTTGCAGTTAGCACTAGGCATAATTTTCACTGGAACAGAAAGTAGCATGTTGCTGTTGGACTTGAGGTACCCAAGTCCCAACTTACATCCTAGTGGGTCCTTCCAAGTTCTAATTATGTCGACAGTCATAGAAGAAGCAAACTGGAACCAGCATTCAACACTCTTTTGTCATCCCAGGTAGACTTAAAATCAATGGTCTCCTAAAAATTAGAGATATTTCAGCTCCAAAATCAAATCCTTGATCATGAAAAAATAAGAGCAGCTTTTGAGATTGTTGTTCAAAGACAAATTAGTCTTTTAAATATGTAGAGACAATTTAGTTATTTTGCATGTAAGTCTAAGTTTAGCTTTAGTTAGATTCTATTGATTTGCACATGCTTTGGAATAATATTACCACAATGTGTGAATCTTCTAACTTAAAAAAAAAAAACACATGGATTTGAGACCCTTCCTCACTCACATTTAAAAAAAATTCCTCTTCTTCTGCCTGCTGCTGAATTTAGAAAACAGCTAAAGGATTTTTTTTCCCCTCTTTTAACGAAACTACTTATTTTTCTAGCTAATATTTATAAAGTCCTCTAAGAATTAGTTAAGCATGATAGTTAGAGATAGTATTTGATATAGGTGGTAGTAATATCATAAGGCCCAATCTCCCAAGACACTTTTGTACATTTTATGTAAATCTTCAGTGCTCTCCTTATACGTTATCAATGGACATATATATATGATAAATAATGATTTACTAGATATTCTCAATTCCTTAGTTTCTCCCCTGGAATATCAAAAAAGTCATTATTGTGAGGTTTATGTTATTTTTATCTCCTCTGACATAGTTCTGCTTTTGAACGGATTAGGGGACATATTAATAGCATGGAAAATTTAGCATTAAGAGCTTGAATTCAATTTCAATTGAGCAGAGATGGAAAATTTTTAAAATCAAATGTTTACCCCCTCTACATAAGATAAAATCTCCTTCCCATGAAATGGGGGGACCTTAATTTTAACCCATAGCTTTTCCTACAATGAAGCCTTATGTCTCAGATTGTTATAGAGCTTTTCACATATTTTTTTTTAAATGGGGAAAAAACAAAAAAACCAACCCCCCCCCCCCCCCCCCACTGAAGCATGATCCCTTCAATAAAACACTCAGCAGTTCAGAGTAAAGCATTTCCTATTCGTTACATAGGACATTTTCATTCTATTAATTTTTTTATCTTATTCTGGTCTCTGTGTACTATTTTATTTCCCCTTAAACACCTGACTAGAGCAAAGCAAAAATTAGATACAATAAAGCTTTGTAGTTCCTCTCTCCTACCTGTCATTGGCAGCTTCTGACAGCCAATCATGAAAAGTCAAAGTCAAACCATTTAACTCTAAGTAAATGGAAATGAATTTCCAGAGAATAGATATTTTTATCATATGAGCAAAAGGCACAGTTGTACACTGACAACAAGGATAAAGATGTAAATATGTAATTGTGGTAGCTGTGTGTGTATATCATATGTATGTATTCAGAGTTAAAACATCATAAACTCCTCTTCTACATCTCAACATAACCTGATATGTATATTTTAGGTGGGGGAAGCAGGATGTACAATGAGAACATATACAGTTTAATGTTAACTGGAGCCCTTTGGGTTGAAATAGTGCCAACGCAACTTTCAAAATATTTCAAAACAGCTGCCAGCATGTAAAGATTTTAACTGAAAGAGTAGAGTAATGAAATCTGAATTACTAATGAGGGAATAAACATATTTTGCTTAAGGTCCTCAATGAACATAAAGATAAGAAGATCCAATAAGGAATTTGCCTCTCATGCATGCAAACCAAACTTCCAAATTTTTACATGTAAGGACAAAAACAGTGAAACAGACTTATCACATACATCCTAAAGTAACATACAGTGCAAGTCTTCTTTGCATAGTCTGTTTATTTCTATTTTAGAAAAGAAAGTTTCTGGAGGGCAGGACCCATATTAATTCTCTTGAATACGGATAGTTGAAAGCTTGGAACTTTGAAGTTGAATGTGCTCATTAAACTCTACTTTAATAGTATCAAGTATAATTGAAGTGGCTTCAGCATATCTAGGTTCAAATGTCCACCAGCAAATCTCACATCTTCTTTTGAGGGAGACAGGTTTGCCCTTTGGGCTTCCAAGAAAAACTTGTCCTCCAATAAAGAAGGGAAGCAGGACCACATATTTCCAGACCAACTAGTCCGTAAAGTAAGTAGTCAATAAAATATAATCTCTAGTCTTTTCTATTCATAGAGTCAAAGATAAATTTAAAAGGAAGGATGATATGGTCTATAAATGCAACTCATTGATTGTGCAGAAAATATTTTAAAAGGGAAAATGTCTATTTTGAGTAAAGAGCATTTTACCGGTTTCTGGCACCTTTTAGCACATTTAGGGGCTGTCTTCTGATCCACCGAATCTAACCTGGAACATGGTATTACATACTGGAGTTAAACCATACATGGAAGCAGCTCTTACTGGCTGGGAACCACCTAGACGTCAGATGCCAGGCACAGGCACCAGCCCCAATGGGCCAATAATTCAGACAAGCTGTTATATAGAAAGCCACTGTCTGCATATATGTTCCTTTTAAGCCTCATTGGTCAGCCCTTAACTGGACTTCATTTGGCCTACAGGACTGCTGCTGGCCTTGACCTTAGGCAGTCAGAGAAGGAGAACTTTTCTCAACCCCTAGAATATTCTTGACCTCTCTGTAATTAGCGCGAACTCCCATTTCTTTCCATAGGAAAGCCTGCTCTGAGCCAAGGGGTGGTATTAGAGATCTCTTCCGACCCAGCCCTGAGGATGAGAGGTGGGGTGGGTGGGGAGGGCACGGAGACCCGAGTCCACCCGCAAGGCCCGGCCCGGCCGCAGGGCTCCTGGTGGGAAGAGGCCCTCCCACGTCTGTGACCCGATCCCTCCACGGTGGCTTTCCACCTACCCCTCAACAGAGCCCCCACCCGCGCCGGTTCAGTGACTTCGCATTTGGCCACTGAACAAGTAACTGTTAATAGCTCTGAATGAAATGCCTTTAAACTAGGAAAAGGCCCTTCCTAGGAAGGAGGTAGACAGGACGTCGGTTAGATCTTCAACTAACTCGTCACGCCACAGATGCTCATTACGATTCTTTTTACGTGCAACATGTGGGGGACGAAGCAGTTTCATATCTCCTGGTATTATCTGCCGTCCAAAGCATTTTCTTTGAGAGGAAAATGGAAACGCAGCTGCGCCGTGGGCCCGGCCAGCCAGAGCTGGGGCTCCCTCCCTCTGTCTCCCTGCGGCTGCCGGGCGCGGGCGGCTCCTCCGGAAACTGACTCGGGTTAGGGGAGCTAAGAGGTTGCGCCGCCTGCACGGGACGCTGCCCGGGCGCGGACGGGTCTTTGTGCCGCTGGGCTGTTTTCCCGGAGCCACGAGGATGGAAGGGGACGCCCAGGTCTGCGGCGCGGGCAGGCGTCTGGCCCCCAGACCTGGTGCGGGGACGCCGGGCCGGGCAATCTCTACCACTCTCGTCCTTGGCAACTTCTGGCCAATCGGCCCAGCCCCTCTGGGTCCCAGCGGCCGGCTGAGCCCCAGGCCCAAAGGGTTAAGCAGGTGCCTCGCCCGGCGAGGCGCTATTGGCCGAGGGTCGGGCGGCGCGGCCGCGGCCACCACGCTCCGCCGAGCCCAAGTTGTGTTCGCGCGGCGGGCGCGGCGGCCAGTCGTTCCCCCAGCTGCCAGGCCGGGGCCTTTGCGCGCGGGGAGAGAAAGACGAGAGAAGGAGACGGGGGAAACCAACAGCAATACCAGCAAAGCGTCCCGGGGGTAAGGGGCGCGCCAGAGGAGGGAAGCCCGCGCCCCACGTTGCTCAGGGGCTGCACCCTCAGCCAGACAACTCCGGTCCAGTTTCGCGATCCGGAAGGAAGAAGGAGGAAGTGGGACCACGCGGGGGTCCAAGACCCGGGGTGGGGGTAGCCATTCACTCTCACTGTCCCCACCCATTATACAGGCGAGAAGGAGTGCAAGTTGTCATTAAAAAGGTGCGCCCAAACCGCGGCATCCCGCCTTACCCCCTAAAGAAACACTGATGTAACAATGTGGAGAAGTAACTGGAAGACACGAGAAAATAAATGCACGTGTTTTCTCTTTTTGTTTCCCTGGTGGTTGGAATTTGCAGAGTTCGCCCCAGCTGTGGCTGCTAATTTATTCGTTTCATCGTTTGAAAGGGGCGTATAGACATGGATCACCAGGGGTACAACCGGCTCCCTTTAGCTGGACCTACAGTCCCCACCTCACAAGTTTGTCCAAGACCAACATGCCCGCCCACCAGGAGCGAGGAGAGTCCCTTCTTATAAAGGGTTGAACAAACTCTCCGTTGCACAAAAGCGCCCCCCCCTCCTCCTTTGCACACCATCCCTCCTCGATAAGCATCAAGTTCTCGAGTAGTCCAACTTGCAGTTGGCAACCCTCGCGCTGCCTAGCGTACAGAAGACCGGCAGAGTGAGGGGTCCTGTCCGGGAGGGGAGAATCTGCGTCCCCATTCCTGCACACGCGGGCTGGAGTCCAGGTTACTGGAAGCCGCGGGAGGCGCGAGCCTGCCCGGATGGTGGTTATTTCTCTAGAGAAAAGAGGGGGAGAGCGCGCGCTCGTCTTACACTTTGGGTCGGAAGTGCGCGGTGTGTGTATGTGTGTGTGTGTGTGTGTGCGCGCGCGCGCGTGTCTGTGTGTGTGTTGAGGGGGCGGGAAAGAAAGGCACCCTCCGCTCGCAGCCCGTCATTCCCTTGCACCGGCCAAGTCCTCTCCAAGCCTCCCGGTGCATCCTTCCTCCGCCACCCCCTCCCCTTCTTCCCTCAGCTGGGCTCGCGCGGCGCAGCCGGAGCAGCCAGTGAGAGCAACATCCTGGAAAGAGGGGGGAGCACCACCGCCCCCCAAAAGGGAAAAAAGGCCCCACCCTGACACGTTTTGCTGTTTGCAAGTCCCTCGCACGCCCCCCCCCCCCCCGCACCTCCTCCTCGCGCTTGCGGCACCCCCCCAGCCCGCTGCGCGCACATCAAAGCGCCTCTCCGCCGCGCACAGTGGCCGCGGCTCACTAATGGGATTGCAGGCTGGTGCCTGGCTCCGCTGCTGCCGCCGCCGCTGCTCGCGCTGCTGCTGCTGCCGCCGCCCGAGCCCCAGCCCGAGCCCCCGCCAGCCCGAGCCCAGAGCCGCCGCGCCCGGGGGCCGAAGCCGCGGCGATGATCCGAATATTTCCGGATTTCAGCGTGCAGGTGACGGCCGCGGCGGCCGGCGGGGCGGCCGCGGGGGTGCCGGCCGGCGCGGGCATGGGGAGGGCCGGCGCCGCGGCCAACGGCACCCCGCAGAACGTCCAGGGCATCACCTCCTACCAGCAGCGGTGAGTAGTCCCGCCTGGGCTGGGATAGTGTCCCCCGCTCCGGGGTGCTGGGGTGGGACTCACTTTGCCTCTTGTTTTAGGCGTTACAACACACATGCACATCGCCAGGGCTCACTTTGCTTGCCCCTCGTTCTATAGATAAGACAGAAAAAAATAATCATTCACAATTCAGACTGAAAGGCACTCCAGTGCACCGGCGAAGTGGAATCACCCTGTGCGTTCTGCATGGCCCCAAATCCAGAGTCTCAGCCCCGCGTAGCCAAGGAGTTACAGCGAAGTCTGAGACACAGCACAAGGTGCTTTTGCAAAGTTTTGGGATCCCCGTCCCCTTCAGCGGAATTTTCTCAATGCCTCTGCCCGGTGCGAACCCGAGCTGACGGGCAGCCAGGGGGGCAGCTGATCACCTGAGGCTGATTGATCATTTGTTTCCAAACAGAATGGGAACGGTTTTCAGGAGAAGCTGTAGACTTGCAATTCTACATAATAGTGTTATCTTGTCACCTGTTACTACAGGGAAATAGGGCATAAATCCGAGTCTCCTTGGCGCTGTTAAGTATTCATTTTAAACGTATTATAATGCAAATGATAAGATTCAGAGATACAAGTTAGGAAGCAAATTTTACAAAGTTAGGTTAGGTTGTGAGAAGGAAGTTTTCAAGCATTTCTTGTTTGCATTTCTTCCCAACATTTATAGATTAAAAAAAATTATGGGTGTGACATTGAAATAGTAAACATCATTTGATTCAGTTAGGAAAGAAAGGGGGAAAATATTACCACCAGCACCACCAACAGCCCTAGAACCCTGAAGTTTTTCCTTAGGGACAACTTGCGATGTTTCAAGATTTTATCAAAAATGTAATCCACAAAAATGTGCTGAGAAAAACTAACAATGTAGTATGAAAGCTAAGCTTCCCATTTGTGGGATTCAGTTTTATAAGAGATGGGAGAGAAAAAAAAAAGAACACATGAAAGTGTGAAATTAAATATTTGTGTTTCCCAGATTGCACACGATTAAACATCTGAGAGATTTGCCAATGGCATTTAACTTAAAATATACACAATGCATAATTCAAATAAGAGCTCCTATTTTTTACCTTGTATTTCAAACTTCATTGATTTGAGAACCTTTGATTTGAACCAACAGTGTTTAAACTGAAAAGGTTAAGATAATCTATCACTGCCATATTTTGTGCCTTCTAACCAATGGCTCAGCGACCAGAGCAGGTTTTGCATAACACTGAATGTTTTCCAAGTTGATGCCCTGTATTGCATATATTCTGTAGAGGACTTTATTATATGCTCTGAGTATTGTCAGAAGTTTAAAAAAGAGAGTCCTAAAAATAAGTCAAAAAGAGGCTATTCCTTGTCAAAGAGATTTTTTATTTAAATTATTTTAGTCTTGTTTTAGTTCAGTGACTGCAAGAACCTTTAATACAAAAGATCTGGGAATTTTTCATACATAAAGGGCCAGAAAAGAATTAGATTTTTCCTTCTCATGATTCAGGTATAGTTGTTTTTTTTTTCTTTTGGTCACTCATAAAACATTTAAATGACAACAGAATCCATCGGTCACTTTAACTAGGAAGTGCAGGCAGTAGTCACAATAGTGTGGTCTCTGAAGTAGGGAGTCAAGGGTCAGAAATTTCAGAAGGCCTTTGGACGATTTCAGGGAACTCCGGGCAACTTCAAGTAACCCTTAAGATATGAACTGGGCATAAGAAGTGGTCATGAATTTCCAGCTTTAATGTTTATTCTCTTAGTGTTGGTGTCTGTCACCATGAAGATCTTCCCAGGGCCAATTGCCCTGCCAGTCAGGAGCACCCAAGGAAAACACTCCATGGTCCCCCCGCCCCCCCCTCTGACCCTGAAAGTGTTGCAATGCTTCCACCTTCATCTTTGAATTGGGGCCACTTTATCAAGTCTCTGAATTCCACTGCATTTCTAAAGATTAAAGCTTTAAAAAGAATCAACTCTAAACTTTAGCCTTTGGGATGTCGTGTTCCCTTCTCTTTTTTATGCTCTCTCATGTTGACAGAAGAGAAGGTGCTAGCTGTGAAAAATGTAGCTCTCCATTTCATTATTCAGATATGACGACACCTGTTACTACCTTTAATTTTAGTTAATTTGGGGACAGGGGAGTGAGTCATGGGGGGGGGGCCTAGAAGGTTATTGGCATGGTCTTAGTCACAAGTCCCCTATCCTCTGGAATTTTATTGGGAATGTGGGCCACCTACTTGTTAGGCAGTAGGAGCTGTGAAGGGCAGACTTTAGTTTTCACCTCAAGACCTGGATATGTCTGTTATAGTAAATGGTAACATAATTTTACCAAAAATAAATAAATAAATAAAAGGCATTAACTTCTTTCAGAGAGTTTGATGAGGAAGTGACAGGCATAAGGGGGTTTTCAAGCAAAGAGTCGCCTGTTCGGAGAATACAAGCTTCTCTCATTTGTCATCTTTTGGTAGAAACGCCCTAAGCTGACTGTCTTGCAGCCAGAACTTCCAAGCAGACAACTTTTCCCTCTGTCTTCCAGCCCATGTATATTGTGTACTTAACACTCTCCACTTCATTTGTCAATCACTCTCACCTTCTCCTACCTGTAGAGTGTACTCCAAAGAGAACTCAAACATCATCATGCAGATTAAACACGTCTGCCACGAAAAACACTTAGGTTTTCCAAGTTTCTGACTCTCAGCCCCACTGTACTGAAATGGTAGAACTGAATGAGACCTCTTTGAAGGTCTGTTTTTTCTTAAGTTTAAAGTAAAATGCAAAGCTTCTCTTGGAATTGATGTTTTCCGTCTGGCTCTCATTTATTCAAAGTAGAAATGCTTTGGGAGTCCTTTCTACTTTCCTGGGTGACACATTATTGATCCAAGTGTCTGCCCCAAAAGCTGCCCACACCCGGCGAGAGGTTTAGTGGAGAAAAATCTCTGACCACGGGCTACCTAGGCAATAGGACTCCAGCAATGACCCTGCACCGAGTGGCCCTTTCTCTAGGCCTCTCTGAGCTGTAAAATAAGGAGGCGGCTGGGCTGGATCCCAGAGGGCCCGAAGTCCGGTCCGGTCCCAGGTGCCCAGTCGGGAGAAGCGTTTTATCTAACTGCGTTTAAACTCCTGGGGATTCACTTGTGAACCCCGGGGTCTGCAGACTTCATGTGTGAGTGAATAATGCAGATTGCTTCGGGCTTGGAAATGCTGCTGAGAGCGTCCGAGCCACAAGGTAGCCCGCGCCGCCGCTCCGCCCGCCCAGAGGGGCTCTCCGGGCCGCTCCGCCCGCACACCCCCGCCCGCTTGTCCCCGAACGCGCGCCCGGGACGCGGGGCTGCCCTGCCCGCTGCCGTGGGCCTCCCAGTTCCTCTTTCTCTTGTTTCTTTCCTCCTGGCCGCGATACTCCAGAGAAGGGAAGTGTTCGAAACTGCAACTGAGTGGCGTTGTTGCGCCGGCAGCCGAGCTTCCCAGTCCCCCAACGAGAGAGAGAGAGGAGAGAGAGAGACACGGAGAGAGGGAGAGGGAGAGAGAGAGAGAGAGCGCGAGAAGGGGGGGGGGGGGTGTCTGCGTGCGAGAGAGCGCTCTGGAGCAAAGCAGCTGGAAAATGCCCAGAAATACTTTCACAGCGGTCAAGCTGGGAACCCCCTGCGCTTCCTCCCCCGCTCCCCGCCCCTCCCGGCCTAGCGCCCCCCCACCGCCCCCCGCCGGGAGGGTGTGTGCCCCACCTGCCACCCAGCCGGCTCGGGGCGGCGGCGGCGGGGGTGACGGCGGGGGGTGTGGCGGCGCGCGAGGGCGAGATCCCTCAGGCGGCGGCGGCGGCGGCGGGGCCCTGGGCCGGGCTGCCCGCGGGGCCGCGCGGCCGCCTCCCCCTCCGCCCCCCGCCGCCGCCTCCCCCTCCTCCTCCTCCGCCGCCGCCGCCGCCGGTCGCCTGTCTCCGCGCCGGGCATGTCTCGGGAGCCGGAGCGGCCCGGGCCGCGGGGGCTCTGCGACGCATGGACGGCGGCGGCGGCGCCCGGAGAGCAGGGGGAGGAGAAGGCGCAGGCGGCGGAGGAGGCGGCGACCTGCGGCGAGAGGCACCGGCGGCAAGAGGGGACGGCCGGCTGCCGGCGAGGCTCCGGCCCCTCTACTTTTCCGTAGCCTCCCCGCCTCAGCAGCACGGCCGCCGCCGCCGCCGCCGCCGCCGCCGCCGCCACGGCCACGGCCACGGCCACGGCCACCGCCCGCCCGGCCGCCGCTGAGCGCAGCGCACGCCCGCACTCACTCCCGCCACCCCACGCACACGCACACCCCCCGCCCTCCCCACGCCCCCCGCCCCGGGAGTGGGGAGAGAGGCAAAAAGTAAGAGAGGAAAAAAAATAGCAGGAAGATGGCGCCCACCAAGCCCAGCTTTCAGCAGGATCCTTCCAGGCGAGAACGGTAACACTTTTCTGTTTATTGAACCTGCCGCCGGGGCGGCTGCTCCCGCCGCTCCCTCCGCCGCCGCCGCCTCCGCCGAGGTGGCGGGCCCCGCTCCGCAGCCCGCCTCCTGGGCCGCGAGCCCGCGGGAGCCGGGGCTGCGGGCCGGCGGCTCCGCGGTCCCCGCGCGCATTGTCCGCCCGCGGCGGCTGCGGCAGCGAGCGGGCTCTCCGGCGGCGGCGGCGGCGTCAGGCTCTCCGAGCGGTCGCACCTCCTCGGCTCGGCGAATGGAGTGACTCGTTGACAGAGAAAAAAAAAAAAAGAAAAGAAAAGAAAAAAAAGAAAAAGAAAAAGCAGAAAAAAGAAAAAAAGAAAAAAAGAGAAACCAAAACGAAGGGGCTGCTGTGTGGCGGGGAGCCGCGGAGCGGGTGGGGGGCCGGGGGATCCCCGGGGCCGCCGCAGGTCCCTTGGCAGCTGCTCTCTAGGAAGGAATGAGGCTGGGGAGGGGGAGGGCAGGCTGCGCGCGGGGAGGAGGAGGAGGCCGGGGGCGGGGAGCGCGGAGCTCGCGCCAGGCCCGGACGGTGTCGCGGAGGGGCTCGTCTCCGCGCGGAGCC